ATTTAAGCCAGTCTTTTGAGATACAGAGATTGAACCAGCGCAAACATGTTTGCAACTATGAAAACCTTGATTCTAGATCAATCCACCCCAGAATTCTAATAGATTTTAAAGGAAGAACTGCAGCCAATACTTCTTAAATTATCAGTAAAATTAGAAAATGGAGGAGTACTTTCAAACTCCCACTGTGAAGCCAGATTTCCTCTACTATGAAAGCTTTCTGATGTCTCTCAAAAACAAAAAGGAGAGAAAAATAAACACTTCATAATATGACAGGTATTCACAGATTTTCCTCAATACATGCCATTGCTAAATCACCAGGGGTGGGGGGAGATCCTCTTCCTGTAGACTATCACACCCTATTGTCATCAAAGTGTCATTGATATGGACAGCCATGGGTCATTGCCTGGGTTATGGTACAATGCATGAACTCCATGAAGTTGAGTTAGCACTGTTAGGGATGGCTTGCTATGCCTCTTGTGTAGGTTTTCAACCTTTTCTTCTGGATAGGGCAATTGATAACATGTGACTTTGCATAGCACCTCCCACATTTATGAGGACTATTCCTAAGGGAGGCATCTTCTATATCAATGACACTTTGATGACAATAGTTAGTGTGATAGTCTGCAGCAAGAGGATCTCCCCCTGGTGATTTAGCAATGTCATTAGCTTCTACTGCTTTGGAAGTTATCTGGAATCACTAACAACTCAAGTGGAGGTTTTTCACGTCTGCTACTTGATGGTTTTTAGCAAATCTACTGGTCCATGTGGTGCATTATCCCACTATGTGGAGTAACTTCACTACCACAATATAGGTGTTTCTTTGTATTTTTAAGTAAGCATATATATGCATATATATACATATATATTGATCATATGATGTGCTGTAGATTCTCAAACATCCTTAATATTTGTTATACCCCTTTCCCTCTCTCTGTAATTACCATCCCTCTTCCTTCCCTCTATGTATTGTTCCCTCCCTTTCCTTCTCTCTGCAATACTCACTTCCTCTTCCATAGTCAAGCCCCCCCTACTTTTATTATTTTTCCCTTCCTAGCACCTGTGTCCTGCTTTTCCCATCTGAGAAGCTACATCTCCTCCTCCCACAATGCTCCCTTTCTACTTTGCTGGCTTCTGCAGATACTCAAGATAAAACATTCAGATAGAGAAGAGTTGGTTCTCGGATCTACAAATTAGAAGAAACAGAAGACATTTGTCTTTCTGGACCTGGGTGTCTTCACTATGTATAATCTTTTTCAATTCCATCAATTTGTTTTATTTTTTCATATATCTAAACAGAACTATATATTTACACCACATTTTCACCATGCATTACCTAATTGAATGATAGCTACACTGCTTGAATTTCTTAGCTATTGTGAATAAAATGGAAGGAACATGACTTAATAAGTACACCTGTAGTCGGATATCAAAAGTTATTTTGGCATATACCAAGGATTGGTATAACTCGGTAATAATCTATATCTCATCTAAGATATTTTGAGAAATTTCCACATTGATTTACAGAGGGGCTTCACCATCATGTAAGCCTACCAATACTGGATGAAACTCCCTCTTTTCATTCATCTTCACAAGCATTAACAAATAGACTATAGTGTAGGTGTAAGGAATTTCATTGTTTGACTCTTTGTCACTGATATTTGTTGGAAACAGGGAATAAAATTTCTGAATGAAAATTTTCATTTTGTCTTACTTTAATAGTGAACAAATATTACAAGGTAACAAAAAATCAGAACTGATTTTTTAGTTGAAAAAATTATTACAGATTACACAAGCCTTTCTTTAGATTCCACATTTACAGTAAATGATGCCTATTTCTCTCCTTTCCAAGAAAAAACAGAGGTGTATTAATCTACAACTCTTATTTATTTAAATTGTGAAAAGCTAAAGTGTCTCCCCTTATAACCAGATGGTAGCCTGGATGTTATCTGTAGTAATAGAGGCAGTTGCAACATTCCAGAACTCACAACTTGGTTAAGTCCTAAAACATTAGGTTGCAAAATCCCTCATCTAGTAAAAATGAATTCTGCAAAAGAAAGGGCATGAAAATCTATTGCACCCCATGAAAACATCTTCATGACATCAGCATGGGGTTCATGGGGACCAGCAAGCCTGCAGCTTGAATGGCTGATTGTTACCTCCAAGGAGCTTGGCCTTCACAGCACACTCTCTCTATTCTTTGGAAACTCACTCTGATTCCAAAATGACTCTGTGCCTAAACAAAAATCAAACAAAAAAAACCACTCTCTTCTGTAGGACTCAGGATCCTGTCTGTTTCACAGCCATTGCTATCATTCCTCTAGCATGCTAGGGCAGCACTGTACACAGGAGAAGGGATACTAGTCCCAGGAGAAGGGATACTGTCTCATTGCAGCCTGCCAAAAGGAACCATAGACAACAAAGGCAACATAATGCTACAGAAGGGTTGTACTTTATTGTGAGAGTTCTGAGAAAACATGGTTGGCCAGCAAGAGCTGGGCCTTGCTTTTGATCCTGACCACACCATCATGAATAAATAGGGACAGACTCTGCACAGGTTCTCCCTTCAGCCCCGGAACAGGAGCCCACTGTGTTGGGGGCCTCACGCCCTGCCTGACACTAAATTCATCACAGTAGTGCAAGCAATGGGCATCTCTGCATTGGGTGGTAAGCTTCAGTCTGGCTTGATGAGGATGCTATCATCAGGCACCCTTCCTCTTCCTCCAACTACGAGAAGATCATAAGGCTGCTCAACCAGTTCCCATGCCAGCCTCCATTGGAGGATGTCTGCTTTGGCAGACATCTCATCAAAGAAGAGATGTCTAATCCTGTGGCATTACTCTTTGTATGTGTGGTCTATTCTCAGGGGAGGCTGGTACTGATCACACAGCCCTTGAACCCAACCAACACGCCACAGTCCACAGCCAACAGCAGAAACCAGATGAAATTGAACAGAGATTGAAGGATGAGTGGCCTGTATTCAATGGATGGTGGTTCTGTGGGTATATTGTGCCAGTGTACTGTTCTTGTTTATTAAACAAAGAAAACTGTAGCACAGCCTAGGCCACAAACTTATCCACCTCAGTTCAGAAACCTAGGACCTACCTGCAGGATATTTGTGGCTTTCAGGCAAACGCGTCATTTTTTTTTCAAGAGAAGTTTAACCACATCTCTGACTTGTCTCCCCTGGCTACTCAACTGTGAAAGGTGTTCTTGGCTGAACTTGCTCAGAACAGACTTCAAAGATCACACATACACATGGTTAATATAAGACAACATCAGAGAACTAGGGAAAGGCTGAAATGGGACAGGTCTTGGAGGTGGAGTGACCCACTAAACCTGAATTGTGAAAGCAGGTGATGATACAGAGTACAAGATGGGTTGTCGACAGTGACTTAGGAAACAAAGATGTCTGAGAACTGCTTGAGGTTAGTTATATATTAGCCACAGGAGATGTGAAAACATGGGAGATGATTCAGACATAGAGCTTCACAGAATCATTCTCTGTCAATAAGATGCATCAAGCAGAGAAGGATATTGCTATGTTTAAGAGAACAATGCCAACTTCAAAGGATTCCCTGTACACAATAGGCTCAATGAGAAGCATTTGAATGTAGTACTGACTCATTGTAGCCATTGTTGTCTGTTGTATTGCATTTTGATAGCACTTATAATCATCAAAAGGAAACTAAAAGATACTGTGAGCCAAAAAAAGCTGCTTCCAAAGGCATCAGTGTAGACATAACCTGTTGCAGATGTGAAAAAGGAATGGGGTCCAAAATGCTGAATATCCAGACTACTTCTCTTGTCTCTGTACCTTGAGAAACAAAGCTGTGCCAGACTTGAATGTAATATTCTTACATCCCCTGTCAGGCCACAATTGAAAGGTGTGCAGGGTACCTATAATATCTGATGCATATTCAGATTCATAGAGACAGTTGGAGTCTGCAGGAAATAGTCCTGAGGATACAATCAAAGAGACCACCACTCCCACTAAAGCATCGCAAGGAAAGATGTTCTGATCAGAAGGGTGGATGCTCACAGAAATGGCATAGCAACCACAGCTGAACAGTAAGACCTCTATCTTCTCCCTGACTCAAGAAGGAAAGTAGTTTTTCACATTAGCTGAGGTCCAACTTCACAGTGTACTTACCCATTACAGTCCATTATTGTAGGGAACTCACAACCCGGTCACATCCGGAGAATCCCACAGAGACAGCTGACCTGAGCTCATGGGAGCTCACAGACTCCAGATGCACAGCTAGGGAGCCAGCATGGATCTTACCTAGGCCCTCTTCATCTGAGTGGTAGCTATGTAGCTTGGTTTTCTGTGTGCCCCCTTAGCATTGGGACCTGGACCTTGGTCCTGCCTCAGCTTGATGTTCCATACTTTGTTGAATCCCATGGAGACCTTAACCCATCTGAATGGAGAAGAAGGAGGAATAGATGGGGGGGGTGAAGGGGTGATGTATGGGGATGGAGGACGAGTAGAAGGGGGAGTGTAAACAGAGAATGATATGTAAAATAAATAGCTCAAAAAAAGATGAAAAATAGAATCTTGTAACATCAAACACACACAGTCAGCAAACAAGAGAAATGTCTACATATTCAATTTGCTGGCCTATACTCAGCACAGCATCAATGTTTTACAGTCCAGGGCAGTCTGTCTCAACAATTGTGACGTCAAATAATTAAAACAATTCCTCAGATCATCCCAAAGTATTTGACTCCACAAAGAGATTCACATCTCATGAGATTCTATGTTGTGTCAAGTTGTCATCTAAGGCTTGTCATCACGACATCATTAGCACAAATGATGCTGAAATAAAGCATTTTGTAGCTTTAGACAATAATCTTCATGATCTTCTGTACATTAATAGAGATCATACACACTGAGCTTAGGTAGATGTAGCCATTTGGTATGAAGACACCAGGTATAAGGCTGCACCAGGGGGTTTGTGTTCTACTTCCCCTTCTGTGTGTGTCATTGTGGAAATGGTCACCATTCCACAGAGCACAGTAATAGATACCCTCATCCTCAGGCTGAGCCCCTGTGATGGTGAGGGCAGCCTTGTCTCCAAGCAATGAGCCTGAGAATCGGGCAGGAACTCCTGTGGCTCTCCTGCTGGTAGCAGCTATCATATCAGTGTGTACTTGGTTAGGTTTTTCTTGGACCCAGTTGGCATAGTTATTGGTGGTAACTGCCCCAGTGCTTGAGCCACAGGTGAGTGTGACTGTCCCTCCAGGAGATGTGGTGAGTGAAGATGCCTGAATTACAATAGCCTGGGAAATGCCCCCTGCAAATAGGTGATAAATCAGATGTTTAGTAGCAAAGCAGAAAGAGATGTACACTGTTGCATACCCACTCCAGCTTAGAAAGGCCCCTGACCTGTGCAGTGAGCCAGAAGAGTGATCACAAGAGAAGCCCAGGCCATGACTCACAGTCCAGGTCTGTTTTTCAAGATTGCTCAGCTAAAAACAGTTACACAGTGCTTACTATAACTCCTGACATGGGAGGTGGTGTGCACATTAATGCAAATGAATTCCTATTCCAGGTTAATTATATGCTGTCAGGTGAGACTTATTGCATTGACACAAGGTACTGATCACATATTTAAAAGAACAAAGGTCGGAAGCATAATTGTTCAGCTGTTTTTGTTCTTCCAGAGCAGAACGTATCTTCTGTCTAGTGTCCTAGACAGTCTTCATCAGGGCTAACCTTGCTCCACCAAGTCTTACCTTACAGAGAGTGAGAATCATTGCAATATGCAGGACACAATAATAATGACTAAGGAGAAATAACGAAAGTAATTGAAAGAGCTCAAAACAAGTAACAGTAGAATGGGAAAGTAACTTGATGTTCTTCTGTTTCTTCATCACACTTTTCACTTCATGGAAGATGATGGTGTATAGTATAATGATTCTAAGTCTGCAATATCAAATCCCGGTGATGCCTCATTACAAATGCACAAAAAAGAATGGGTGAAGGGAAAGACAATAGCAGAATCTGTCGAGGAGGTAAAGCAAATGGATCTCTGATGCACTATTGGAAGTAGCAAGCATTTCAAAAGCAGTCCATTTTAGAGATTATATAAATTTTTCATATGGATTATCATGCAGATCAAGAGTGTCCCTGCATTAACTCATAGAAATATTAATAGTCCAATGCATGTAAAGTAACAAAGAATCCATTGTATAGCTGTGTAATGGTGCCCTGCACAGAAACTGAAAAGGAGCAAGTGCACACAAACATGTCAGGTATTTGAAGATTCTAATTATGGTATAAGTGCCTGTTTCTGAAATGATGGGATGCAGGTTTAAAGCAACAAAGCATATGACTGGGTCCAAGCTTCTTTGGAAGAATGTACAGGTGTAAATGTAGGGTGATAGGGAGAATCTAAATTATCATTTTGTTAAATAGTATATAAATGACAGTGTATATATGCATATATATGCTTACATCTTCAAAAATAAACATGTTATACAAATTATGTGTATGTGCTTGACAAACTTTGGCTCTAACATGGGTATTTATGTTATACAAATTGAAGGAAAATAAAATTGTTTTAAATATTTAACAATAGTGAAATTCTGAAAAAAAATATTGACACCACGCCCATTTTAAATTTCTTCACAAAACATTATTGATTTAAATACCTTTACCTAAAGAATAATGCAAATATCATGCCATTTTTGTTTCACATGATAAATGGAATTATTTCTAATGCAATGTCAGTATTTGGAGGCAGGATCTGGGCCTAAGGCAGGAAAGGTCTGACTGGTGGACAGAGAAACAGATAAATAGCTCTTCCCAGGAAAACTAGAGCTATTTTCTTATGGAGCAAGAAAAATACTATATGGAGTGGAAACTCAGAGTTAAATCAAGAAGGAAGATGACTACTGAGCACACCAACAGGAGAAGACTGGGTGTGGACAAAACTTCCAGCACATGATGGTTTGAGAGTCAGATTTTAGACTTGGGTGTGGTCACAGAAAGGTACTGAAGCCATTCTGGGACAACATTTTCTGGATGGAAAATAATGCTTCTAGCCAAGCCTTGAATCAGGGATAATTCTATCAACTTGGGGGTCTGTGGTGATCCAGAAGTTTCTGTGAAAGGAAGTGTCTGAGCAGTGGGGAGGTAGAGAGGAGAGTGGGGGCATGCAAAGGACCTGTGACTCACTTTGCTCAGGACTTCAGCAAAGTAAAACATAGACACATATGTGGTAGTGGTGACAAAGTTAGTGACTGTGATGAGTTTGACAGCTAGGAAAAGGGAATGTCTCATGTAGCCCTTGGGCTTGAAGGAATGTAGTGTGGCCTCTGCTTTGTGACTGATCATGTCTGGCTTCTACTGATCATGTTAACATTGCTGACCCTAGTAGGCAGGACTCCAGAGCCTTGTTTATCCTGGGAACCACAAGCAGGGATAGAACTGGTGTTTGTTAGCATAAAATTCACACATATTTGTTACCAAGTTACATTCATAATTTTCACCAATCACAATTTAGAGATTAGAGACTTCCATGAGTATTCCAGCATTGTCAATCAATGCACAATGAAAGCTTTTCAATACAACCAATTAGATTCATTTCTTCTTTCTGTTGCCAGGAACAGCCTTTATGTTTCTATAGAAATAAAGATGCACTATTTCTATGCTTTGAGGAGGAGTTTGATGAGCTCTTGGGACGTTTTAGGCTCCCCTAGGGTTTGGGAACCTGAACTTTATTCCACCCTGCAGGTAAAATCCAGTCTGGAGTCAAAACGGCAATACTTAGGTTAGGCCTGCACCCTTCATATGCCAAGGCTCCCTTGAGTAAATGGCCCCTTAGTGATCAGTTTGCTGTTAACACAGACACTCCCACAGTGCCCCCTGCTGGTTAAAAGGCCCACAGTCACCAGGGCCAAGAGCCTATGTTCATTTTGACACTCATCTGATCTCTTAAATCTATTGAAGCACAGACTGCTTTCTAGGTTGTGTGAATCTGCTATGCTGTATATTATTCTGTACCTTCTCACCACAAAGAGTGCTCCTCCCTGTGAGCTCTTTCTGCTGTGGGTTATGTAAACATGAGCTGTTAACATTCTTCCACCACCTGGTCCTCAGCTCTCAGAGCAGTTACACTGTGAGATGCAGACCCAGGGAGGCCTTGTGCTCTGTGCTGTAGATTCCCCCTGGGAGGAAGCAGCTGCTGTAACACTTTATTGGGCCATGAGCAGCTGTAAAGGGTCCAGAGAATTTGAACACTTGAGTCTCTGAGATTTCTGAGAAGGGTCACATTACCCTCTGCTGGCTTCATTATTCTCAGGGTTTGGGTTTCTTTCATTGAAACACTGTTTACTTTTTTCCCAGGTGCCTCTAATTTATTTCTGAAGCTGACTCATGGTCATCACCTTCCCTCCTTTAATTCTTTTAGTTTATAGATATTTTCTCCTTTTTTGATAAATTATTCCCAAATTTTTAGATTGGAAAGTTTGTCTACATGTGAAAGGACCTGATTTAGAGGAACAATTTACATTTGGCTCTTTTGCCAAAGACTTTTTAGTACATTCAAAATATTCATCATATCCTCATTTAGTGACTAATAATTGGAATCAGTTGTAACTTGCAATCAAGATAATGATGGCAGATGCCTGTTGGTGTCATAGGTGCCCAATATACATGAGTCAGAGAAAGGGTCTAGAATATTCAAAAAGGAAAAAGCAAACATTAAACACCAAGAAGACAAACAAGCTAATTAAAAAATATGGTATTGAATGAGCAGAGAGGTCTCAAAAGAAGAAAACATATTGTTAGTGAATTCTTTATAGAAAACATTCAACATCCTTATTCATCATGGAAATGCGGATTAAAATTACTTTAAGATTTCGTCTTACCCTAGTCAGGAGATCAATCATCAGGAAAGGAAATAGCAACAAATGCTGAATTGACTTGGAGAAAGAGACACTTCCATACACTCCTAGTAGGGTTGCAAGGGCACATAGCATGCCTATAGAGATCAGCCCTGAAAAATGGACAATAAAAAAAAAGATTGGCCATGGATATACACAAACATACTTTATAGCCTACTACAAAGATACTTGTACATCCATGTTCATTGCTGCCTAATCACTATTGGTAGTGCATAAAATTAATTTAGCTTTCTGGCAGCTGACCACTGGTTAATGAAAATTCCAAACGTGTACATAATTGAGTATTACTCAGTTATAAAAGAAAAATTAAATCATGACCTTTGCAACCAAATGAATGTAACTGGCCAAAAATTAAAATAAAAAGTTATACTGAGTAGGATCACATAGGACAGAGGAGACAAATGTCATATATTTACTTCATAGGTGGGTGATAGCTTCAAATATTATGTTTTATGTGTTTACCCTGGAGTATATGTGTATGGTGTCTTGAATGACATAGCCACCAGATCAATTGAAAAAATTATAGCTCATGGTAGTGATGATGTAAAGTTCATATGAGTATTCCTCCATTGCTCTTGGGAATGCAAACTCCCACCAATACTTTATACCTTGTGCTATTCTGAAGGAAAGCAATATGGCAGTTCAAAGAGATGCTGGGAATAGATTTATCTCAAGATCCAGCTATAGTTGCCATTGGGCATATACACAAAGGATGTTTAATCCTAATGCAGAGATACTTCATTGGTTCCAAATTTTTCTAAATGACAACTACCATACCCAAAAGACGCTTTGATCTCATAAACTAAACCACAAACATGAATCTAATCAATAACTATTCTTTGAAAGCTACTCTACTGCTTTACAAATAATTTTTGTATTTCAATAGAAATTTACAGCTATCAGTTCAATTTTTCAATGCAGCATTCATTCTACCCTCAATAAAGTAGCATTGAGGTTTTAAAAATATGAGTACAAAATTATCCATTGTGGGGATTACATTTGTAAATTTTCATTGTCTACAAAATGCTTCTCCAAATTAGTATTATTGTTTCAGAAAACAAAAGAAATGTCAGTAGAATACAAAATGATATGAATTTGTGCCAACAGTAACTTTTGACATGCCTCACAGAACTTGCATGTATGTATGTTAGGATGAAACTGTGGAATGGTGGCAAAGGTCTTCATAACCTACAAAAGTTAGGACCTAAATTCCTATGTGCTCTGATTCAGTCAATAGAATCCAGAGTCCCTGACTGAAAATATTTGCTTGAGTTATAGCTGTCTGCACTATTCTTCCAATAATCATATTAATATCTGGCAATGGTGTTCAATTTCAACAAGCCCTGGAAAGCCATAGTAAGGACATGACACTTATGTTTATTTCTAGGATCCTTCCCCCTTCAAAATGGCTCTGAAAACCCTCTTATTATGAAAATGCAAACACAATTTGAAATTTACATATTATTAATTACCACATCTTTTAACACATGGCCCAGAAAAACTTCAACAGTCTTTAGTAAAT